AGGGAAACAATTTGGGAAGGGAGTGACATGCAGAGGTTTCAAAAATCAGTCTGTGGAACCAAAGAAAGTTGCTCCAGTGGTTCCACATGAAGATAAAATACAAGTTTAAATCTCTGTTCTGCTATAGCCCTGTGCTGTGGAACTCATCCCTTCAACTCCATATTCTGGCCTTCTGTTTATGGGATAGGATCATGACATTTCAGACAGGAATAGTATGAAAAAAATATATTAATGAGCTGAGATACTCAGATATGATCGTAATGGGTTAAGTCAATGCCATAATTAGAAAGGTGGGCAGCTGGGAATTAAATGATCTTGCTGTGATTAATTACATGACACAGACACAAGATAAGCCCAATCTCATTGGCCTTTGTGGACCCTCCCAAAGGAAGAAGAAAAGAAAATTAATTTAAAGCATTGCTTTCTCCTCTGTAATTGCTGTTTTAGAATTTCCACACTCCACAGAACAGCTCTTGCCAAAATAACCTCTCCGAAAGCTCTGACATACAATATGCATTTGGGCCTCCCTTTTGGTTTTGCTTAAATTAAAAGAGGAAAACCACAAAACAGCAAAACCGACATTTACAATAAAATGCCTTTGCTACTACAGAGCCAAGTCACAATGACACATAACATTTACTCCACTGCCCTCCATTCGAGAAATGTGTTGACTGAGATTCCAAGAAAATAGCATGTTTTTTTCTAAATGAGCAAATTTAATTCAGAAGAAAAAGGTTTTTTAATTGGTCCATTCATTAATAGAAAATAAGTTCATGTGCTGTGTCACGGTTTGAACACAGCGAGCAGCAAACAGCACACAGCCGCTCACTCACCCTCCCAGGGATGGGGAGAGAACTAAAGGGCTTAAGGGCTCATCGGTTGAGATAAGAACAATTTAATAACTAAACTGAAACAAAACTGAAAATAATTATTATTACAATAGTAGTAATATATAGAAATACACAAATGAGTGATACACAGTGATACCGCTTACCACCCAATGATGAAGGCTCAGCCCATTCCTAGCTAACAATCCCAAAGCAGATGAAGTCCCAAAACTGCAATCCCAGAAAAGAGATAACAGCCCAAGCATCTGAGAGAGGAGAGATTGCTGACCAAGAGACTGAGAGACAACTCAGAAAGAGCACTTCTGGACAGAGCCTCGTCTATATACTGGGCAGGACATGCATGATATAGAATAGAGCATTGGCCAATTTGTGTCTCAATCTTAAACCTAAGGTCAAATCCTAAGCCAGTAACTGTGGGCTGTGCTCCCTCCCAGCTTCTCCTGTACCTGCAGACACTGGCACAGCAGAGAAGCTGAAAAGTCTTTGACTGTCCTGGCAGCAACTACAAACCTCAATATGTTATCAGCCTTCTCCTCAGCACAAATGTAAAACATTGCCTCCTACTGCCTACTGTGAAGAAAATTAACTCTGTCTCAGACAAAACTGGGACATGTGGTCACTGAAGAAAGTCTTCATGTGGAAAAAAATAAGTAGTAAGACAGTGACTTGAAGAGGTATGCAGGATGGCTTTCCTGTTTCAGAAGCCTGTACTCTTACCTGTTATAACTATGAACAAGATCAAAAAACATCATGTCTGTAGTGTTAACAAATTTGCATTGGGCAGGCAGAAACTCCCCATCTGCTGAACACTGTGGTGGGCTCTTCTCCCCAAACCCATGCAGAATGCGACGGTCTCGGATCTCACAGTTCCCCGGACCTGACAGAAAACAAAAGCAATGTTTATTGGTGTTTTAACTTCCCACAAACAGCTGACTAGCCACCTCATGGATTGGAAGGGGGTTAGATTTGTTACATTGAACATGGACACCCAGGTGCCTCATATTCTCCTCGTGAGGAGCAGGGAGTTGGACTCAATTATCCTTATGGGTCTTTTCCAACTTGAAATATTCTATGATTCTATGAAACAGGGACTTAAATGCCTCAGTTAAGCATCTATACTTCTGTAGAATAAGTGTACACTGTCCAAGCTCCTGCTCTACCACCTTTCACTCACTCCAAACCTTCCCACCCTACAAACCCACCATTTTGTTGAATATTACTTACACCGCGCTGGCTTTCCCCTCTGCCTGGTGCCATAAATCTCCATTCCTTCTGCATCTACACACCAGCACTGCTCCAGCTCTGTGTCACACTGCACTGCATCAAAAGCCCCCGAATCCAAGCACTGAGGGATGTAGGAGATGCTGCTGCTGTTGATGTAGCGACTCACCAAGATCCTCTGCTTTTGCAGCTGGCAAAAGGATAAGCCTGTAGTACCAGAGAGAAGCACCATTAGAGGGAGGTACTTGTTGGACACTGAATAATCTATTTTTAAGATAATAGCTGAGTTTTCTCAGGACATTCATAGACTTGAGGTAATGAAAACTTTTATACAGAAATCTACCACAGATGGGGTTGAAGCCCTCCAACTCAAAAGCCAATACACCAACTTGATCTTGCATTTGTGATTTACATTACTGTGACCTTCATGAACACAGACCATTCTGGTGCAGCAGGTTTCCATGATCGGGTCCAAAGAAAATCCAGAAATGCCACTAGAAAGACTGAGCAAATTACAACAAAATAGAGTCCATCAAAGTCCAGGGCACCCTGTTCTTGATTTCAGCAGCTCAAAAGCAGATTTAAATGGCCCTTTACCCAATCTGAACAAAACCAGAAACTTGTGACTTACAAGATGTGGGATATCCGTTCTGCTTGCTGCCAGGTACCTCAATGCCGTTCTCATCCACACACCAACAGGAAAGACCATTCCTACTGCACTGAACTGTCCTGAAGGACAATACAAGTAACATATTTTATTTTGTTCGTGAGAGTCCTCAGTCAGTACAGGACATAAACAAAAATATAAAGCAAGGTAAACAAGTTCAAGTATTCTAATACTGCAAATAATGGAATCAGAAAGGGCTGTGTTTCTGGTGCCTTGAAATCATCTCGGTGTATCTGATGAGAGTTCTTAATTCTAGTAATTCTCTGAAGTCTTCAAGAATTACAGATAAGTGACTTGTAGTCATTCAGGAAGGAAGTAGTTTGGACAGAATCCTGATTCTCAGTATTTGAGGTTTATCATACATTTTGAGAGCTTTTCTAAGTTAAATCTGGAATGACCAAGGTCCCCCACCCCAGGCAACAACAAGATAATAGTAGAGAACATTATAGTTTGCACTCCTCCTCAGTCTCAGCTTTAACTCATATTAATTTCTTGCAACTTCAAGTAACACACTGCTCCCTAAACTGTTCTCCATGTGCTTTTTAATTCCTTTACTATTCTTAGAAGAAAACCCAACCCTGCCACTAACAGCAGGGTAGATAACTTCTCCAGGTCAACTTGGCTCAGCTATGCCAGCTGGAGCACTGATCACAGACCACACACCCACAAGCATTTGTAGGAAGACAGCAGTTAGCTACATTACACAACAACCTGCACCAAGCATTTAACATGCAAATAATGCTGACAAGATTAGCCTATTAATATTAGATGGACCTCTTAACCCAGAAATTATTTCCAGCAACATGGAATTCATTCAGGAGAGGCTGGATCTGCAACATGGTTGAATGAAGTCCCTTCAGTCTCTTGCACCCCTCATCCTCCAGTCCACTGATCCAGAGGCCCTTCAAAACTTGAGCTAAAGCTTTCATTAGTAATGGAAGATCATGTTGCTTAACAGCAGACTAACAGCAGAGATGAGTTACCTGAATTGTCCATCTTCTGAGCACTGAGGAACGTAGGTTTCTCCTCCTGAAAAAGCCTTTTCCCTCTGAAGTTCACATGGACGTAACGGTTGGGAATCTGTCTGGTACTCTGAAAGCAGCAAGAAGGTGAACACATAAGGGTGGTTCTACCACAAGCCTGTTCTTATCAAAACCCCGTTACCACCAGCGCTGAGTGGTAAAAGCCCCAGGTTCATGGGTCCTCCATGGTTGTTTCCCCATTGCTCATTGGATGCATTTCTGCATGGGCCAGCACAGGGAAATACTGAACAAACTCGCTGGGCTGCCAGCTGCAGGATAAACATATGACGGAAATGCTCATGAACCCCTTTCCCAGGCCTGTATTTAATTACCTTCAGCTCTGTTTGTACTGGTATAGTTACTTTCTGGAACCTGAGGCAGTCTACATACTCAGAGATAGCTGTAGCTATCATCACAAAACAGCCCTTTGCTACAACCACACACATCACTAGTGTTTTATGAGTTTTATGTTCTTTATTGAAGCTAAGTCAATCACTACTCTATCAAAAAGAGAGGTATTTCTTCTTAATCTCATGAAGGACCTAAAAACGATCAATGTCTAGCAGTTAACATCAGACTAATTCATATTAGGAGCACTTCTCAATTTTTAGCAGGGCAAGTGTTTACTGTAAGGATGGTGAAATGCTGGCACAGGTTGCCCAGAGAAGTTGTGGATGTTCCATCCCTGGATGTGTTCAAGGCCAGGCTGGATGAGGCTTTGAGCAACCTGGTCTAGTGGAGGATGTCCCTGCCCATGGCAGGGGGGTTGGAACTCCATGATCTCTAAGATCCCTTCCAACCCAAACCATTCCATGATTCTCTGATTCTAAGAAGTGTTCAACTCCAGAAGCCAACTAGCAAGAAAACAATTGACTCTTCAGCTCTTAATACATTCAAGTGCAAATTTGGATGCTGTTTTAGGAAAATGATGAAATTCAGGTGGTTTGTTTTTACAGAACAGGTTAGTCGATCTGACACTTTCTCTGTCAATGTACAATGGATGCTATTCTCTTAATTCCGTTGACTAGTTCTATAAAAATATCCCAAACAAACAAAACCATAGCTACAGTGATTTAGGCCAAAGGTTCATTTAATCCAGTATTTGGTCTGAGTGTAACCACACATATGGTAGCACCAATACATCACAAGTATTCTGAATACTTTTCAGCCTCAGGGACTTCTTTAACCACAGATGGTCTCCATGCAGCAAAGATCATAGCATCATCTCTGAGTCACTTCTGTTTCTATCAGTTTTTACTGTGTCCCCTTAAACCCATGGGAAAATTTTCATGAGACTGTAAAAGGGATTTTAGGTTAGTTTACCTATAGACATCCACATGTAGGCCAACCTCACTATTTTAATCTCAAATGCTACTCACACAGTTGCTCTGGGATGTGTGGAGATCCCTTTGTACAGTGCTAGAGAGGGTCTACTAAGACATCTGAGCCAAGAGATGAATGAGTGATTCAAATTGCTTGCTGTACAGGACTATCAAACTCAGACTAAAGAACTGGGGATGGAACTCAGACTATCCAGTACCTTCAGGTTCAAGCCTAAATTAGATGATGGCACATGCAAGTAGAAGATACAGCCTTAGGACCTTCACATCCCTGCAGCACCACCTTTTCTTACGCAAGCTCTTTCTCTAGCCCAGTCTGTTATTCCAGAAAACGAGGTTTTTTCCAGCCAAAATCCAGGTGTGCTGAACTCAGATAACCCTGGCCATTTAAAGATCCTTAGAGCTCAGTATTTAACATGGAGCCCAAACTCAGCTTGTACAGCACACAATAACTAGCTAAGCTTGCACTGCGCAAGACTCAAGACCATTATATGCTTTGTCAGTATACACAGAGATCAAAATAATTATACAACAATCACAGGAGCACAGTCACTGCTGGACACAGGTATAGGAAAAGAACAAGTGTACTTACCAAATATATTGGCTGCTGCTATACTAGTAAAGCAGCAAAGAAGGGTGCAAAATGGGATGGAGCCCATCCTGCGATGGGAGAGCTCCATCCCCTCTTGCCAGTGAGGCAGCCCTACAGACCCTGCACAGCCTTCCTCTGCCTTTTTATAGCAACCATTGCACGGGGGAATTCGCTTCTGTGCTGGTAGACTGGCCACAGAATTGGGCAAGTGACGCATACGATGCTTCCGAGAAAACCACAAGAGGCTCTTTCACCTGGAACAGCCCTGACGGTTCTCCTCAGGCAGTTCTCATCCCTGCTCCAGGGAGCACAACTGAGCCCGGTCACCAGAGAGGAGAACAAGGAGCAGCAGGCACAGGGGGTACAGGGGGCACTCAGTTAAATCAACTCCTTTCACTCCCACTTCCATCGCGCACTTTCACACAGCCACGTATCCAGCGGAAGCAGCTTCGCTTACTGGGCTTCATCCTCCAGGTGTAAGATCAGCACAGCCATTAAGCATTTTATGCTTTTTGGTACTGATCATGTGCAAGATCCTTGCCCTAAAACATAACAGAAATATTATTTCCTTGGTTCCAGAGCATCATTTCTTACTTGTCCACCTCTTATGATGGTCAGTGAGCATGTGCTTGCACCAGGAATTATGAGAACTCACCCCCACTTATGCAAAGTTTGTTGGACAAATGGACCCTGAAGAATTAGCTAAATAACAGAAGCACATGTCTGAGGCTGGACTTAGGCTGATTTCAGGAAAAAGTGACAGCAGCACTCTTGTTTGCGATCCATGGGTAGCAGGCAGTCTATACCAATACTCTCCTACAGACCAAGACTGTGGTAACAGCGATTCAAGCATCTTTCTGCCTAGGCTGTAGACCACTACAGTGCTACAGTGTTTGGTAGATACAGTAAATGTGATCTCAAAGGGCAGTACAATCTCGCTTCAGCATGGCCGGCCTTTTTACAATGAGTGGGACTGTATGTGGATTTCACTTCCAAGCAACCTAATCCAGACAGTTATCAATGCTGATATAATAAATAAATTCAATATATCAATATTCAATAAAAACCCATAGTCAGCAGAAAGATACAACTGGGAAAAGATGAAGAACACATCCCGTGTAGATGACAGACCAAAAAGACAACCTTCAGAGGCATAAAGAAAAAAAAAAAATCTTATAACAGCTCTGATTAAGCTGAGACAGAAGGAAAATGAGCTTCTGGATTAGCATAGGATTTGCAGGGAAACAAACACACAGAGCAAAGGAATCAGATTAAACAGAGAATAGCCAACACCAGCACTAGGGTGGCTGTGTTATGAAAAGTCTGAGCATGATATGTATTTCTGAGTCAAGTATACTTCAAGAGTCTCAGGTTTGTGTCTGACCGCCAGTGCAGTGGGGCAGTTACAGGAGAGCAGCAAGAGAGAGCCCAGCCCAGCGTCACAGGCGCTCCAGGGACAGCAGATCAGTGCTTACAGGCTCAGCGATGTTTCAAGCCACAGGAACATATCCAGAGCGTGTGTGGTGAGCACGACACTGACTTAGTCCAGTTTTCTAAAATTAGTAAAAAATTGTTATTCAGGTTCCTTCAACAGCAAATGAGGAGAAAAGCAACATTCCAAAGACTACTTTTATTTTCTTCAGAAACACTCAGAAAATCACCTCAGAACTACGCATGTGGGAAGACCAGCCAAGTCTTAAAAGTCTCTTAAAAACCAAAGTGAGAGAGTGAGTTTTGGCAATTGGCATCACTTAAACCACTTCTATAGATGTGCGTCAGACCAAGATGGGCATCTTAGTACACGCAAGTTCAATGGGATGCAATAGCCCATGCATTTAAAAAAAAAATTAGTTTACAGAACAATATGTGCAATCCTATTCTTCAGTGAAAAAAAGGCACTTGTCATTTATGGCTGGTCAAATTCAAATAAAGAAAAGCCTCACTGCAAAACCTTCAGTGAAGGGACAATTGAATTGACCTTTATTTTTAGCAACTGAGAAAAGATGAAGGAATAGCTTAAATTAGCTCACCAGCGAGGGGGAGAAAAGGAATAAGTGGAAAAAGGTCCCTGTGGCTAATGTGGCCTTAAAACTAACATGTCTTCAAAATCATTGCTCTACTGCTGGAAATGAGGGTGTGTTTGTTGTACACAAAGCTACTCAATCTAGACCATAATTGTTGGAGGAAAGAAAAATGTCAGTGCGATGAAACATTGACATCACAAACCTCAAGGGAGAAGCAGACCATTTATTCATTGTTCCAGTTTTGCATACACTTTCTTAGCGCAGAAGACAGTTTGTGCAACTGCAATTTTTACATATCAAAAAGCCCAAGGGTAAATGATGCCTGTCTGTGAATACATAAACATCTGTACCCACAGAAAAGCTGCTCTCACCCCAATAAAATTTGAGTCTGAGAAGTCAACCTTAGTTTCAGAAGCAAACTTAAGGGAGCCTCCTAAAGGAGGCAGCAAATTGGAAGGAAATTTTTTAAGAACTGAAAACATGGTCAAATTATGTCCATATCAATTAGTTCATTTATTTTTAAATAATAAACTGCTTTCCTGTGTTAAATAGATCACAAACACTTGGACAATCCTCTCCCACCTTTTTAAGAAAACTATCTAAAATCATAGACTCACACCATTTCTTAGCAGCGCTTAGAGAACTATGTTTTACATTTGATACATTTCTTCCCAAGCATGAGATATTCGTCTCAATCTTCTTCACACTATTTTGGCACAGATAGCAATAACAAGACCTCGTGAAGCACTTATCTCTGTCATCTCTGATTAAGCTTTAAAAAGTCCTCATGTGATGAAAAATTTAAAAGACGACAAGGAAAAAGGCATAGCCCCACCAGATAATACAAGTTTCAGTCACTTCATACTTGACACGTTCTTCAGCCTGAAAGAATGATGGGGAAGTTCCAGTAAACTTGATACTAAACTTAGCTAGATCTGAAAAGTAGGCAGAAGACTTTGCAATTTTTTGTGTTATAATTTACCAGCTGGCAAAGTGCTTCTGGTGACAGAAGAACCTAAAGAAGTCAATGTGAGAACATCTTAATTTGTCTTTGTCCCTGCAGAAAAGAACCATTTCTAGGACAGGTAAAACGGCTTCTTTTGTACTCATCCATTGGAGATAACAGTTTTCCTCTATCTAATAGTACCACAGTGATGCAAGGTAGAAAAATATTTATTTTATTCTCACAACATGTGGGATGCAGATTGTTTTGAAAGCCCGAGCAGAAGTCAGTTCTGCAGCACGCAGTGGCACCAAGGACAGAATCACACACTGAATTGACTCAAAGTTTGACAAAAGCAAGCTAACGCAGCAAGAAAAGGCACCGCAGACACACAAGGACAGCAACAGGGTGCCAAACTCCTGGTGTCAGTAGGACAAAACTACTTTTTGTCTTCTTGATAATTCAATATTTAACCTTCTCTAAACTGAAGGCAACAACATACAGACAGAGTCAGAAAGCAAGTTCAAGGACAAACACAACTCCTTCTGCCACACAACAAAGCTGTGGAATTCAGTACATCCCCTGATGCTGTGGAGAGAAACAAATTAAAACAGATTAAACTCATGGAGCTCACATCTGTCAGCGATCCATAAAACAAATAGCCTTCGTATAGATTTTGGTAAAGAAAACCTCAGTTTACCAGAAATTTACCATTAAGGGAAAGACCAATTCATACAGTTCTTTTATAGTCCATATGTTTCTTCAGATGCTGACATTGTATTTCTACTGAAGGTAAGACACTGGACTGGATAGATGTTTGGTCTGACTCAGGAAACCTCTTCTTTAATAAGTCTGCTGATCAGAAAAAGTGTTTCAGTGTTATTATTCCAAGATCTGAATCTGGCCTTTTATCTTAGAGAGACTGCTTTGAGACTGTGCCTTCAATAACAATTAAAATATCTGTTTCAGAATTAAAATTTTGACATTTCTTGCATGTTTAAGATCATACTTATTTTTGCTGTAGAGGACAGAAAAATTTCTCTCTGTTAGTAACTCAGATTCTGTCTGATTTCATCCACCTGCCACTTACCATTTGCACCCTGGCCCACAGGACGTCTAACACAGGACCTTTTCTACCATTGTTTGCTTATTTCTTTCCTACTAGAACAGTGTCCAGAACAACAGTTCGTAGGCAATACTAAAATATAAGAACTTACTAAAAGCAAATTGAAGTTATTTTGTAATGACATCGTACAAAGGCACCAAACTAGAAAGACTCTTAGAAGGCAAACATCTGCCCGCAAGAAGAGATACCATCACTGCAAGCATATCGTTGAACAACATCATCTTTCAAGAACTGAGTGCATTGCAAAACTCAAGCCCTGAAATTGTTAAACATCAAAGTAGTTCAGGGAAAGAAAAATCTTCTAATTACTTTGCCACACAGTAATTAACTATTTACTGATTCCCTAAAGCTTTGCAACATATACAAGTGACTCCACATAACTCAATGACTACACGCTAAAAAACGCAACTGGATTCTCTAACGATTTAAAACATATACAAGCACTCACTAGCTCACCAAAAAAGAGTCCACTGAATGGGAGCCCAGGCACATAACAATCTACAGACCTTTATTGTGAGTATTAGAACGCAGTCAACATTATTGCTGTTATTAAAAGAAAATAAAAACCCAAAAAACAAAACACAAATCACAGAATAAAGTATTTTGCTTCTCTCACAGAAGATTTAATAATAGTGCATTGCTGCCTCTCTCAGTGTGTAGTGACAATACACTGACGCACGTGGCTACAGCTGAGCAGAGGTGGCTCTGGCCAGCATGAAAGAAAGGAAGGCTGCTGCCTGAAGTAAAGAGCAATTGAACTAGCTTTAGTAATTCAATCCATAGAACAAGGCCAGCTCATCTACTGCTTACACACAGGCTCAGTGTACATGGAAAGGGAAATTCACTCCTGAATGATTTTTCACACCAGTTCGTTTTTTCCATGTGGACTCCAATTTTTTATTTGAGCTGTTCAGGCTGGTGCAGACTGGCTGCCAAATGCCCAGTCTGCTCTCCGTGCAGTGTATTTTCACCATCATTACATGCTCCATACTTGTTTTCCATATATAAACAGACACATAGTGTAAAATACTTATTGCTAAAGACAGACCCTCACAGCCAGGACATAATAAAAACCACTGCTGAAGTATTTCAAACATCCTCCGCAAAATGACCAGCTAAAGCCATAGGGATTCAGTACAACAGAAAAGCGTCAGCTAATAAAATGTGAGAACAGCAATGGGCATTTTGAAAGTGATTAAGTCTCTGACCTTAATGAGCTCTCCAAAATTAAGGTGCACGTACTGTAACATTTCTAAGCAGTAGAGAGAAAACCTATGGTTCCAGTGTTCTAAACCAACATGGCAAAGATGGGTCTCATTTGCAAACGAATGGCATAATTGCACGCACCCCCTTTACACATCAGCACCTCCATATAGCTACCAACAGGGCAAGGCAGTCAAGATGGCCTGATCACACACAGTTCTTGTTACAAAGCCCCTGTTTCCAGTGTTCCCACCCCGTTTTTGTTGATTTTCACATCAAGCTCCAGTTCAGTTCAGGATTGGTTTTGTGAAGTTTCAGTGGGAAAAAAAAAAAAAAAAAGTTGTGGTTTCCCTTCGAATACAAAGGAAAACTACTCTGCTTTGCAAGAATTTTATAATTTTACTGTGATGTTCAAGCGACTCTTTTACATCCAGACGTTCAGTTTGGTAGAGAGTGCTGGGGTCCAGTAGTGCCAGAGGGGTTTTGCTGTAATATTAATTCAAGGCTAGTTAGGTGAGAAGCCAGATGGGAACAGAGGGACAGCATGATTTGTACAAGACCAGAAGAGGCTCACTAAAGGCAGGCAGCAAAACATCTGAAAATTTTGACAATGGTACACACAATCTAACTGTACACAGCTCACAGGACACACTGGAGGCTGGGGACAGAAGGGCAGAGGAGACTTTTCACTTCCCACAGCAGCCAGAGAGAACTGGGCACAAGAACAAAAGAGTGAAACCCTCCAGGCATCACAGAAGAAGAGAGCAGAAAGCTGAAGAACAAAAGGAGAAACAGATGCAAGCTGCAGAACAAACAGACAAGGAGCACACCAAGAAGCTTAGAGACAAAATTAAGAGAGACAGGTGGATGTCAGCCATACAAGACAACTGCACCCAATGGAAAAACAGTTTCAGTCCTTTGCCACCCAGCCAATACATGAAATCAGAGAATTGCAACCCATCTTGACTACTTTAAAGAGAACAGGCTTCTACCACTGTAAATTACTACATAGCTGAACAAAAATCTCTGCATCTAAGGCGAGAATATACAAAATATGGTCACTGCTCAACCCACAGGTACCCAAGAAAAGGGTTAGCAGGAAGCATCTTCCAACCCATTCCTGCCACGTGACTTGAAGGACCTCCATTTCATAACTGGAACGCAGGCAGTCCCATCATGCGGTATCTGCTCACGTCACCAAGACCACATTTCATTCACAACTGCAATACTGATGTCCTACTGTCATCACTGCAACTGAAAACGTGGAATTCCTGATGAAGATGCCTATGGTACGGTCACAGGAAGAAGGCTTTGAAATGAATCAACCTGGCACCTCCATGAAAAAAACAACCAACCAAACAAAAAACTAACCCTCAGACAAAAAGCTGGGCATTCAAAGGCTCTACAAGTTTGCCACTTAGTCCTATGAAATCATAAGAGGTTTCTATACAATGGCATTCGCTTTTGTTTATTACTATTAAGAACTTAAGTTAAAAGAAAGCTGCAAATCTAAAAATTACCTTTCTGTGCACATGTATCAAAAACAGTCCTTATATCACCATATACTATTTCTTCCTCGGAGAGGGTCTGCCTCCTTCATCACGCAGCACAAGTAATTGCAATTCACAGTGCAATAAATGACATTGCAAATAGACTGTGTGCAGGGCCCTGGCTTAGTTACAGAGGAAGCAGGAAGACAGATAGAAAATGATGCCTACAGGAAAAAGATTCTCTTGATAAGGACAGCTAGAAGAAATACTGGCATGAGCCAGATCACATCAGGTTTGATTGGCACATGAGCAAAACAATCAACTGTAGGTTACATTCTGTGCAAAACACTCAGTATTTTTATGGCACTTGACTTTTAAGTGTTTAAGCAAAAACTTCAAAAGCATCCCAAACCTTTGAATACTTGAGAAACTGGGGCCAAAACCAGTGCTCACATCACAGACTAACATCACAATTTGAGAAAGCAACTTCAGACAAGTTTGTGAAGCATTCAAGCAATACACAAGGTATCATAGCATTGTCCGTAAGGACACTGAGATTGTATTTCTTAGAAGATATGAATGCTTGCAGGAACTTTTATAATACCTGACTACCCAAGAAATGAGGATAAAAAAATACTGAACAGATTATTTTTTTTAAGCATAGTGCATCTTGACTAAGGCAGGATCCTGAGGGATAAAATTACATACTCATGTAAATTTAGAGACCATGACATATACAAAACACAAGACAAATTAGAGCTGCAAGGGCAACTTTAACTTTGGCCTTACAATTTCCTTTTCAGTATACCAGTCCTCCCTCTCTGCATTAAGAATTAAACTTCTGTCCTCCCACCTGGAATCTCTCAGTCTACCTCCACCTTCAGTAACATTTACAATTATATCTATCACACACATGCACATACATTGCATAATATTGCTACAGTGTATGCTGTATAAATTATGTAAATACACTCTACTTTGTTTCAAAATAATTCACCTGGATTTACACTTCTCTTATACAGTACACACAGTACCACATTCAAGAATAACCAGCAAGTGAATAATATACAAAAAAGTCTCACATATCCAAAAGTCACTCAACTATTCATATTGTTTGAAGCAGTTATTTAAGCATCCAACTATATAACACAGTATTTTATTTATTAACAGTTGCTATAAAAACATCAACAACTCTTCAGCTCTTGTGTTCTTTTTGCATTATGCAATTGCCAATCATGATTCCATAATTAACTTCCACATTACCATACGGCTCTGTAGTGTCTCCTATAAGCTTGATGTGGCAAGACTTTTTAAATAGCAACCACTCTGTAACAGGGGTTTACATTTTGCTTTGGACATCGAGAGTGATAACTCACTTCAGACATGATAGGCAGATGGGAAATGTCAGGGGAGGTTTATTTTAGCAATGAACCAGCCATGCTGCTTTCTTAATCATATTTTTATCATGAAAGTTCAATGCACTGCTTGCAAAGTCTTTCCCAGATAATCCGTCTTTGGCACATTTTTCAGTTTTATGCATCCTCAAAAGGCATTCCAAGATTTTTTGATTTCTGATGGTCTGTACATTATAACAATCACTTCTTTTTACATTTGTATGTAGATCAGGAAGAAAAGTGGAAAATGTAGAGTATGCAGAATAGTTTTAATAAACAGTTTTACATACAGTACCTTACATATAGAACAGTGTGTTTGCAAATTTAAATAATTTTTTAATGTACAGTGGCTTGTACTCTTATCAAAAGGTAAATTCAAGTTTACTGTCTATCGGTTCTAAAATGCATTTATACAGATAACTAGAACTGATAAACAGACGTGAGGCATAAAACGTTCAAGTATCTTAATGTCATCAGTTAAATAGCCTCCTCTTAACAGTCGTATTTTACAAATTTCAAAACCTGTACATACATTATTTTCAATTTTAGAAACTGCTTGTTAAAAGGTAACATTTCACGTTAACCACCAGTTCTTATAGTCTATTGTAATAAAACTAGGCATGTGTAGATATAAATGTATATAGTATGTATATATGTACATGTGTATCTATACACATATACATACACATACAAATATGTATGTAGCACTGGGTACAGCGGCAACTCATAAGCACAGGGAAAGTCCTGGGCTCAAAATCCAGCAAGAACAGAGCAAGTAGGTTGCCTTTTGTTTCATCATGTTTCATTCACTGAAGCTGAAAGATTTTATAAAAAAAATCTTGGATAACGTATCTTGTGATATTTACTCTAGTGGTTTAGTAGATTCACAGCCACAGACAGTTTTGCTGCTCTTGTCATTCCTCATCCCAGATGAGGATGGCAAAGTTTCAGAGGGCCAACACCAGAACAGAGCTACCCAGGACAAAAATTGTACCTTGAATCCTCAATACTGCAATAGAACATAAAAAAATATAAACTAGATACAATTTTGGATGGATTGCTGGCACCAAGTAGGACTTTGGAAAAAAAACCTTCATGTAAGTCATAATCAAACTCTCATCCCAGTGGTTTTAACATTATTTGGCACATCTGAACACTATTTGCCACTTATGTTTTAAAGGAGCCTAAGGGTGCTGTAATAAGGATTTCTATTTAAAAAAATACTTTAAAAAGGAGACCATGATAAGCAATTTCTTTCAAAAAACAAAGCTAGCATGTTAATTTTCCTGAACATTCATGAGAGAAGGAAATAATCTACAAACTTTCCTTGTAGAGAGGATACAGATCTCTCTGTGTCTATCTTTCACTAGCAAAATAAGAGGAATTAATTAAAAAAGCAGTTCCCAAGAACTTTTAGTCAGCTGAATTCTGTTAATTTAGAATCTTTTGCCAAAGGTTTCAAAATAGTAGCATTGTTCTTCGCAGAGGTTTTGTTTGTTCAGTTTTCTTATATGCAGGGACTTTACCATGTTAAAACCATATCAACATTTCTTGTTACGCAATACATTACATTTTGAAGCTTGGATATTGAATATTCAGATTTTCACTATCACAGATTCCTTACTCTAGATTTCCTCTCCTCTCTCTAAAGCTTCAGACTATTAATGCAATCAACAAAGAACCACATAAATGCTCAGCTTTTTGCTGTCTTCCTCTCAGTCTTGTGGCTAGTAAGAATATTCATTGTAAAGAACCTATTTTTATTTCTTTATTCTTCCTTTTGTCATACAGAGCAAAGCGTTGCTATTTGCTGCACTTTTCCCATGTCAATTAAGAGCTGTTTGATACGTCGCTTGAGCTGAGGCAATCTTGCCAGAGGATCTGGTGGTTCCAGTTCTCCAGTGAAATCAAGCCAGCTTTCTAAAACTACAGAAAGAAAACGAAGAAGTTGATTAGAATTAAGACTTTGAGAAACAGTTTTCATAAAAATTAAAATTCTCTTTCTTGTCTTTTGTAAGAAGGGGAAATATACTGAGGCTGTGATTTTTATTTACCAGAAATGTTTACTAGTGAAATACCAACTAATTCTGTGTTTCACTCAAACAATCCAAACATATCTTCTGATTTGATGGTTACTATAAAAAGGTACCTGGGAGCAAATTAGACCCTTGGCTAACAATTTACCATCTACATACATAAAGTAAACCTCAGTTCACTATCTTCTAACTATGACAGTTCTGCAACAGAAAATGCAAGAAAAGGCTTGCTTCTGTCACCTTAATAGGCTCCTGTTAACAGGGTCCAGATTGGTTTTCCAGACTTCAACAAAAGTTTTTCAAGGAATTTCTATGCTTGTAGAGACAGAGAAGGGAAAAGGCCAACCTTGGCAGCCTAGAAATAGTGCCTAGTACAAGCAGGAATATTGACAGTAGAACTGCAAATAGTCAAAAGATAATTAAGGACTCATGACTAAACTACAAGCTCCCTTCACTCTTATCTACGACTGGCAAGTAAACTTACATGCTGTAACATCTACTCCTACACTATAATTTAATTCAAGTTTTTTCATGAAGCCTGATTTGTCTTCCTCAAACCAGTTATTTATTAATACATAACAAACCAAAGCTGAAGGCAGAATGAACACTTTTTTTTTTCCCCCCTAAATGTTGTCAAGTACTAGAACAACTGGGTCAAAAACACTCCAGGCATAGAAAAATCCATCAGCTTTACAATTCATATCTGGACAAAGACTAGACAAGTTACTTAAGCTTTCTGAAGTCTGCCTAATATCAAAAACCTGAGCAAAATTTTCATGGGTCTTGAGTGCTTAAGCTACTTTATCCGGCATTCAAAACTTGTGGAAGGGGTTGGGGGATCAAGGGTACAAGCTCTGGTTATAATTTTGGGTAACCAAACTTGAATACAGTACTTAAAAATCCATCCTCAGTGCCTCAGATCACCTTCAACACAGTGGCTACGAAAGACCCTGTTACAGGTATATTAACACGTATCTGCCAATGCAGTTACCATCAACTTCCTTTTCAATCAGGTCCATCCTGCTGGTGACTTCATTCTGTACATTCTCTATATGGGTAAGGAGATTTAGCTGCCATTGAAGATGTGTGTCCACTTGTTCTTCTGAGCCCTTTCTTTCATTACAAACAAACACAGAGTTTCCTTCAGCAGCATTCTTCTTCATAGGAGCAACAGAAAGAAAAAAATTGCCATTTAAGAGGGTTTCTTTGTGTTGTTCTTCCATTTCTAGTGTTGATTTCAACACTTGAGTCACATGATAAACTACGCTGGTTTAGAATTGTACTTCTGTCTACTTGACAACAAGTACACTCGTAAAGCCATGTACCATGACTCATCAGTGGACTAAACCAAACCAGAATAAAAGCAAATTCCATGCAAATGAGCATGTATAGCACTGGGGGGAGTGAGGCAAGAGATGAAGTTTACCAGCTCAACAAGCACTTTGTTTAATGCAATAAGACCACACTTCTGTGCCCTTTTCATACAAATTGTGACTTAAATCATGAAGTGCTGTACTGCATTGGTCTACCATCAACAAAAATGTGCAAAACACTACAGTTTGTTTAAACTTTAGCAGGAGAATTAAATAAAATTCCCTGAAAGGCAGCAATACCCAAGATGTCAAAAGTCATTATTTTGCAGAAACAAGCTGGCCACTCTATTTGTTGATTAAGACAAAAGACTTATCTTCCTACCATTGCTGTAGTCCCATGATAACTTGCAAGCACAAGTCTGGGATAGAATTGAACATGTTTGGGGAGAGTTACAAGGGCAGTAACATGCAGAGTTGAGTATCTGAGAAAGACTGACTTCTTTGAAATAATTAGTATCTTCATAGGAAGTCAGAGATAATACACAGGTTCCTCAACTTTCTGTATTTGATGTTTCAGCTAATGGAAATGACCAAAGCAAATAAACCAGATTTAATGAGTTAAAATGTACATAATCTTCATTAATTAGTAGGATTCACAGTTTCCATTTTATATCCACTGTGACTGCATATCTGATGAAGTTGTTTCACTATTGATAATTCTGCTCAAGGGACTAAAATGCTGGATACGTGTGCTCACACAGTGTCAGTGCATGGCAAATGTCAGAGCAAGGAGTGAATTTTATCACATTAACACATTGCCCTGATGAAGTGCTCAGGTAATTTTTTTCCATGTCACATAGTAACAGACTTAATACCATTTTTTTCTTCAAGTATTTCTTTCTCCAGTCAAGAACGGAAAGAGTAGACAGAGAAAGGAAAAAATAGGGACTGATGGATTTTAAGTTATTTCTTAAGCATAAAAAGTAACTAGTTTTTTAAGACTTAAAATCAATTAAAAAACAAATCAAACTTCAACCAACCTGCTGGCAGCTTTATGAGTGAATCCTAGAGGACAAATACTGTTAACACCCACAATATTCATTAAACAAGTTAAAGTTCCTTAACAGAGATAGATTTCAAAAGTCAGAAAAGCCTCTAAACTCTCAAACCTTTCAGATAAAATCTTCCATCTCTCAAGACATCAGGTTTGCCTCCACTGTGTTTTCGCTATTCAAACTGTTAATATTTTTTAAATAATATTTCCAACATATGTAAGAAATGCCCTACTTCTTACACTTTATAGACCCTCTCTAAAACCACAAGAGAAGAACATTGTTCTCCCCCTGCTGTAGAAGCATAGAATCATTAAGGTTAGAAAAGACCTCAAGGATCATCAAGTCCAACCGTCAACCCAACACCACCTAACTCACTAAACCATGTCCCTAAGCACCCCATCTACACATTTCTTGAACACCTCCAGGGATGGTGACTCCACCACTTCCCTGGGCAGCCTGGTCCAATGCCTGGTCACTCTAATATCCAGCCTAAACCTGCCCTGGTGCAACTTGAGGCCATTTCCTCTTGTCCTATCACTTGTTACTTTAGAGAAGAGGCCAGCACCCACCTCACTACAACCTCCTTTCAGGTAGTTGTAGAGAGTGACAAGGTCTCCCCTCAGCATCCTCCTCTCTAGACTAAACAACCCCAGCTCCCTCAGCCGCTCCTCATCAGACCTGTGCTCCAGACCCTTCACCAGCTTCGTTGCCCTTCTCTGGACCTGCTCCAGCACTTCAATGTCTTTCTTGCTGTATGAGGTCCCAAGTCCACAATTCTAAAACCAAGATCACCTGTTAGGTGAATGCTTTGGATGCCTGCTGCAATACATTAGGGAAAATCTTAATGCTAAAAAATGTAACATAAGTAACATCAAAAGATTTTTTTTTCTTTTAATGACATCTCTATTTATTAAAATTATTTATTACTAGCAAATGCTCCCTGCAAAAAACCAAGATCAAACAGCTCCTCCTCTAAGCTAAGAGATCAATGTGGTGGCCAGGACAGTAAGAGGAGTACAAGATCCAGCCTGTGAAAAAGAAAAACGGTTCAGGTGGAAGGGGTTCATAATTTCAGAAGCAAGAAAAAGGAAACTAAATACAATTTTAAAGATGATGTACAGTCCAAAAAGGGACTTGATAATAGTCAATCTGAATACTGTTCATAACAGAAAAGAAGATATCTAACAGAACTGCAAATTAGGATAAGACAAAACAGTATGGAAAAACAGAATATCCAAGGCTCTGTGAGATGCCAGAAGGGAAAATCCAAAGCCCCAACCAAAACTTTGACAAGAGGTAAAGAAGGCACCTCACAGAGAAGTCAGTTCATGTAAACACGGCACTTCAATGTCAGCGTCATCACTGTTTTACAGTAAGTACAAACAGGTTCATGGAGAAACCAAGGACAGCTTTTCAACGCATAGTAAGCCTAGACAGAAAAAGCCTTATGTCAGATATTAAGGCTGAGTACAGACAGAAAGGTGAACTAAGGTGTCCCAAAGGAAAGAGTACTCTGACACTGCCCCAAACAAATCTCTTCCTGGTTTAAAACAGAGAGCACCTATCTTTTTAGATATAAGCTTTAGTAACAGAAGGAAACATTAGTTTTGTCTCACTGCTCCCATATATTTTTTTAAATTCTAAATATATTTATACTATTTACAAAAACAATGTAAGCTGCTGTTGGAAGGAAAGTGTATTTCACACTGCTGCATGTCTCTGTACTATACAAACAAGAATAATCATGTGATTTAGCATACAAGCAGTTATTTCTAACTAGAATAAGCCAAAATTTTCCATTCAGACTATATAGCTTACATGTCACATTTAAAACTAAAATTAAAAGAAAAAAGATGTATCTTACTCATTTCTTCCACACCAGAAACTCTACTTCAAAAGGGGGATGAGTTGGGCGATTTATTCTCACACAGTTGGTATTGTAGAAAACAGAAAGGTTTGTTTTACTTTGCTTTTTTCTCAAAGAGAACTCTTCACTAAAACCAGACTAACAAGTTTCAGACCTTTTCCACAAAGTAAGGGATTCAAACAACGCAAAAATGAGAAAGATGTTTAAACAGACAAATATAATTCTGACTAAAAGCCTGTGAAACATTTAATTAGAGGAAATATGCAATATAAAAGACTTAAACTGCACATGAGGGGAAGTTAGTTGGTCAGTAAATCATTACTTGTGGACAGAATTCTAGAAACACGGTACAATAATAAACACTATTATGAATTTCAGTTTAACAAACAATAAAGAAAAACACCACACATAGAAAACAGAATTGAATTAAAAAAGGAAAACTTGTCCCATTTTCTTCACCTCACAAAAAACACCTAAGTTCTGTTTCAAGACTCTGCATGGTAAGCATACGATTTTTCCCCCGAAACACTAGATTTAGCATAAACAGGCAATACTGTAACCATATGTAGCATTTCATTCACCAGCTGAAATGGGTATACCTCACCTGAAACTATTTCACCAATCCAACTTTGCTTCTAGTGATCTCTGCTGACTTGACAGAATATGTCGAGTTATAACAAAGAACATTTCTAAATGCTTGTATGTGCTTGAGTTTTATCAGACTGAACATATTTTTCCAACTAAGAAACTTCCCAGATGAAGAATGATACTTACCTGCTCATTCACACCATCATCTTTAAAGGAATATTGTAAACAGTTTTTATTCTCTGTGTGAAACTCGGGATCTTCTTCAAAACTACTAGTATCTTCATCATCTGAGCTCATAGGGTCAGTGACTGCTTTGCAGTCTTGCCCAAAACTCTGTGGTTTTTGGTAACTGTGCTCACTTGTGATGTATGTTTCTTCCATCTTCTGGGGTATACTGGGAGGCTCTTTATGGTTTTGACTGTGATACGTCCTTTCAGTTGGATTAACAGCATCTGGCAAAGTCACTAATTTTTTCTCTACCCCAACAGTTATTTGTTCTTGTTCTTTCCGCATCCCTGAGTAAGCCCAGAGATGAAGGTCTGGGTGATGCTTATTTCTGCAATGAAGGGGAATTAAAAAAGCAAGTTATAGAGAATACCACTTACAGCACTGAACTATTTAGCATCCACTTCTGCTAGATCACAGCTATTGATAAGCACCATAATAAAACATCTAAGTATTCCTAGGTCACTTACCAATTTAGGATAAATCCAGAATGTCTCTTTAACATAAAACTGACTATTAAAAAAAAAAAAAGATCACCACTTATCCCAACATATCAGATCCACTCAGGTGCTGAACATCTAACTCCCACTCAAGCTGAAAGTACTCTACATCTTGCACTTGAATTATTTAAACTATTATACAAGAACTTTAATGTGATTGAATAACTCATATGGAATAACGGTAGTCTGTGCTACCTAAATATACCGTCTCCACAGTACCCTTCCATCTCCCACAGTATCCTCACAGCTAAA